ATATTTTTATTTTTTAAAATTTAAAATAATTACTATTATCAATTATTACATATAAATTATTTTATTTGTAAAATATATAAATTTTTAACATTAAATCAAATAAAAAAAACAAAGGATATTAATTTATTTATATATATATTAAAACAATAATTAACATTATTATATATACAAAAAAGATTTATTATTTTATATTTACATAATTTTAATAAAAAATTATTATTTTTTAGTAAAAATAATTTTCTCAAATCTAAATAATAAAAATAAAAATAAATATTTTATAATATTTTTATAATTTTCAATAATTAATAACAAAAAATCTCATAAATTTCAAACTAAAATGAACAAAATTAAATATTTTAAAACATAACATATCAATGTTCTTAATAGTCATATTATTTTATGTATAAACAGCTAATGTCAAACAGTTGTTTTACCAAACATTTTAATACAAACCGCTGATTGAATCAGCTAGTCAAACCAGCTAATTGAATCAGCTAACAACTAATTAAATAAGCTAGCAGCTGAAAGCTATCAGCTAATTGCCAAACACACCCTAAGCCAAAAAGCTCCTGCCAAAGTGATTCTAAAATATACGATATTCTAGTCAATCCAAATTGGGTCTTATTTGCTTTTTGAAATGCTTTTATGACACAATTGTTAAAATCTCGGAATTCAAGTATGCGATGGAAAATTTATACATGAAAGACATTTTCGTATTGTATATAATATTCAATCAATAGTTGAAGATCTAGATCAATGGTTCCAAGATGTCTGCAAAGTTTTTCAAATATTCACTACAAAAAAAATAATATATTTGTAATGTAATTCCGTCCCTAAAGTTCACGTAGCTAACGTAATTCCGTTCCTAATTCCGTCTCTAATGTCATTAGTAACGGAAAAAGTAGATTTAGAGACAAAAAATTTTGTTACAAAAATGATTTTTCTTTTAGTGATTGAAGAGATTGGAAGAATATCAATCCAATTATTTATCTTTCGACCATTCTTGATCCTCGCCATAAAATTTGTTAGAGAGAGTGAAGTAAAAGAATTGCTTCAATCAATTTGGAATGTTACGAGAATAATGTTTTGTGAATATAATTTCACTTCAATATCTAACATTGAAATGGATTGATTATCTATCCAAGCTCGTTCTAATACCAACACATTTTTTTCTAAATTGATGATTTTGGGAGAATTCAAAAAAAAAAAAAAAAAAAAAAAAAAAAAAAAAAAAATTGAAGCAAATAGTGCATAGTGCGTTGAAGTCGGAATTGGATAAACATTTGGATGATGAATGTAAAAAGATAACCCAATTAAACTTTGATATCTTGTATTGGTGAAAAACAACATGGTCAAAATATTCGAACACTCTCTCGCATGGCGAAAGATGTATTAGGCATTCTAGTATCCAAAGTTGCTTCGGAATTTGCTTTTAACACTAGAGGGAGCGTTATAAATCATTTCCGAAATACTCTTACACCAAATTTAGTCGAAGCACTCATATGTACACAAGATTGAATTCGAAAAGGTCCACAAAGTGTGAATGAAAAAATAACGAAAGTTTTGAGAAAATAGAAGCAAGTATTTTTCTAAGCCGTAGACTAATACTACATATACATACACATATAAACAATCATCTTCATCTATTGCTATTGTAGCATATATGCATGTATGGATATGCATGAGCTTGGGATCTTCATTTGGATGTATGTATTTCAATTTGGATATACATATGTTTACGCCTTCATGGCTTTATTTTGAGGTAACTGGATGTATGTTTCAATTATGCTTGTGTTTGAGATACGGAAGTTTTTATAATATTATGGATGTTTTCTAATAATATTATATTTTAACATTTGATTATTTGCATCTATTTTGAATATTTTTAATTGTTTGTTAAATATATTAGGATAATTTTTTGTTCGATTCGATTTGGAATATATGTAGATATTTTTAATTAATTGAAATTTTAATTTTTTTTAAAATAAATTTGTTTTTTAATTTGGTTTGATTCGAATTATTTGCAAATACTGTAAAAATTTTCAATTCGAATACAATTCGTAATTTTGAATATTTGTTCGATTCAGTTTAAATATTAAATACATGTATGTATATTTACAAATATTCAAACCATTCCCACCCCTATATGTTGTTATAATATTTTTAAATTTTTAAATATATTAAAATAAACAATATTAGTAACGACTATATAGCCATTAAAATCGTTAATGAACATTTAAAAATAATAATATTATTATTATCTTAAATTTTATCTATAAATATTACTCTTTTTGCTAATTTCGTACTACCTTCAACTATGTCATATTTACAAAATTTTTAAATTTATCTCAAATCTCTTCCGCGGACTAGCCACAGAACTTGGATATGGTTTCCCGATAGAAGATTATGGATAACAGCTTGAATCAATTCTACAAAGACCATTTTCTTTAAATTCCATGAACCAAAATAATGGTCGAAGAAAATCTTCCAAATTTTTAAAATTCTTCCTCCTCATCACAAGAAATGCCAAATTTTGTATATGAATTTAATCTAACTTGCAAAATTATGTCTATCATTCAAATTTTTTTAGTTCTATTCCTCAACAAAATTTTTAAGCAACAACGCCTCCAAACCTTCGAGGTCCTTTTTTGAATTTTCTATGTTCCAACCACACTTTCAAATTCTTACTGGAAATTTTTCAAAACATACCAATTCACAACACATTCATCTTCTATTTATACGAATCATATCGCGGAAAGTCTCCAAACAGTGGGTTCACGTCATGAAAATACAACTTTAGAATCATCTACGTCAGCCACATAAATTTTAACTTATTCAACACAACCGTGCATCGTAGACATTTCTTTGAATGAAGCAGTGGTTGCAACTGATGAACCACAAGGCATAAAGTAGAGTATGCAAGATGACCAGATCATTACAAGAGTTTGGCTTACAATCTCCAATTGCGATAAAATGCATTTTGAAAATGGGTCAATGAATATGTAATACCCCGTAAAATAATCGTCGGAAGTTTGTTGGAACTTGCCGGAGTCAGACAATTTTATTTTGGAGCTTAAATTGTTTTGGACTTTTGGTGTAAGGAAGAATAAAAGTTGATTAAAATTAAAGTTGTTTGGAATATGTAATATGTAATACCCAGTAGCAGCCTCTCTTCTTCTACTCGGAGGTTTTCTTCTCCAAAACTCTTCATTTTGGTTTCTTGGTAAATGGGATTAATCTTATATAAAGATATGTTATAATTTCTAAACCCATTTGTTGATCTTTGTGCTATTTTTTAAAAATTATTTTCAAATGGGTTTGATTTTGCTAATTTCTTTTTAGAAAGTTGAGTATAATGTTCTTTACGGCTTATGTGAATATTATTATAGTATTTTATGTTGAAAATTGTAGAATTTGTTAAATGGATTTGAAACTCTTAATTTTCCCAAACCTAGTTTATGAATTTTGGGAAAACAAATATGTGATTATTTTAAATATTATGATTTTAAGAGTTAGATTATGTCTACTTGGACGGACATATTATCTAAATATTTATTTGGCAAAATAAAGTGAGATTTTAATAAACTAGTTAGATTTTTAATACTCTACTTATTGCTTGGTTGTTAAATGATAATGTTGTTGTAAGAAAATAATATTTTATGAGCAAATTTGAAAGTCATCGCTTAACTTTCGCTTATGTTACAAAATATGTATACTTGGTCGATGTTTTTATTGATTGGTTGGTTAAATATTGGCAAATGGAATGTTGTCTTTAGACTGTCATCCGTGATGGAATGATAGATTGCATACAACCCCCTCTTGGTATGTTATATTGGACACTAGATGGTTTGGCAGTTTGGTATCCCTTGCAAACTAATAAATAAATTGATGTACGTGTACTTTGGGCTTCGAATCCTTATCTATCTATTGTGGAGTTTTTTTTTAGAGTTGTGACTCTATGTTTGTTATGTGTAATTATGTGACGTGTCATACGAAGTAATAAAGTTTGAAAACCGGGTCAAGATGGCCCTAATTAAGTCTTAGTGGAGTTTTCTTCGTGATGTGTTCATCACCATTATTTGAGAATAAAAATGAAATATAAAGGAGGCGCTAAAAAACTTGTGTGTGAAAGTTGTCTTTATGTGATATGTGACATTTGATTCAAATATCTTCTTCAAATGATTTGGTGGTATTTACTCGTGAATCATGACATATATCATATTGATTTATCTTTGATTCATTGTGGTTATTCAACCGTCGTGTTGACCATATTTCTACAAGCTTTTTATAGACGATCACTATAAGAAAAAATCATTTTTGTAACAAAACTTTTTTTGTTTCTAAATCTACTTTTTTCCGTTACTAATGACATTAGAGACGGAATTAGTAATGAAATTACGTTAGCTACATGAACTTTAGGGACGGAATTCCGTTACAAATATATTATTTTTTTGTAGTGGATTGTACTTTCGTTATACCTAAATGATGCATCCACGTTACATGATCTATTAGGGAAGGGAGAGGGGGAAGGGGAATGAAACCATTTAATCTCTTTGGATGCTTTTGAAATTGCTACCAATGTTTTAAGAATTAATGTTTTTGAACTAATTCCCGGCTTATACTTTTGACTCGAACCTTATTTATTTAAATGATAAGCCGGTGCACTTTAGTTTTACATTTCTAATTAGTTACTTGTATTGGTTATTTTAGCCTTATCGCCATAACGTGAGGCTCGTTGGTTGATGAATGAGCCTTCCGGTGTGGTGTGGCGTGGCGGTGACACTCTGACTTGAGCCGACCGAGATGTTACAGAATACTTAAACGAGAACAAAAAAACAATCCCAAAAAAAAGTATAAAGCTACAAAAACTTATTGATATTGAATAAGTCTGTGGATAAATAAATTAAACCTGCACTACAAGAAGTTAGTATTTGAACATCATAGTGGATGGGACAACGGTGAAGTGAATAACAAGGTCGTGCTTTGTATCACCATAACCATAATATGAAGCAATAGTTTACATGTGAACATATGTTGGTGATTGTGAGAACAATCGTTTTTTGTTGTTTTAACATATTTCCATAACATTTAACAGCACAATTCTAACATAAAATTGATCCACACTGGCCCCATTACACATACATACATACATACATACAAAATATTGATTATTCTCAATTCAGGATATTATTACTAATTAAGGGGAGGTGCTCCTACATGATGAGAAAGTCCCTAAACAACAACAACAACAACAACAATAATAATAATAATAATAATATACTCCAATCCTATGATAAGCAATAAATAAAAGTAAATGACATTGAAATAGAAATCAGTAAAAACTTACTTGAAAGAAGAAGCAGGCAGCTGAGGCAACTGCTGCAGCTGGTGAACAACATGAGACATCCGCGGCCTCATGGACGGCACGTGCTGCGTGCATGCGTACACCAGGTCCACCACCTTCTGCACCGTCCCCGCCTCCACCGTCACCGTCGCCGCCGACATCATAGGGTCAAGGAGCTCCAGGTACCTGTGGGCCTGCACCAGCGGCGTTGCCCACTCAAATATGCTCTGCCACCCGACGGAATCGACTGCCTGTGCTGGCCGCCGCCCGCTGACGATCTCCAGGAGGAGGACGCCGAAGCTGTAGACGTCGCTCTTTGTGGTCAGCTCATTCCTGTATACGAATTCGGGGGCAAGGTACCCGTGGGTCCCGCCAGCCATCACCCGCCGCTCGTGCATCACCTCCCACGGGACGAACTTCGATAGGCCGACACCCATGAGGTGGGCGGAGAAATCCTCGTCAAGCAGAACATTCGTTGCACGGATGTCGCAGTGCACCACTTGTGGCTTCACCTTGTCATGGAGGAACCTGCATAGAATCAACCTTTAAGGTAATTTGCCGTAAAATATATGAGACTGAAAAACTATGGGTGTGTTTTTTTACGATGAAAAGAGTATTTTTTATATTACCTCTACATGATTTCCATACCAAATGTTAAAAAAAGAAAAAGAAAAAAAAAAAACACTTAAGACTAAGAACACAAAACAAACACATTCTATGTTTTATGCAATAAGACTATAAAATATTCAGATTTTATCAGTTGTGTTCTTTTGTGGATTTTACCGCATGTTTTTACTATTCAGATTGATTTTTCCCTCCAAAAATATCACATCAAACAATTACTTTTCTTCTTTTATATTATACTACAAACTTATTTTACATTCAAAACATCACATCAACCTCTATTTATATGACATCAAACAACTATTCAAATTCAACATTTTACTATTCAAAAATCCAAAACCTAAAATCCACAAACAAACACACCCTTAAGACTAAGAACACAAAACAAACACATTCTATGTTTTATGAATAAGACTATAATGAAAATGTGTGCAAGTAAATAACTTACGCGATTCCTTGAGCAAGAGTAGTAGCAATTTTCATTCTCATGGGCCAATCGAGTGTCCGGCCCCCCCTTGGGATATGATGAAGCCATCGATCTAAAGGTCCATTGACAACAAACTCATACACGATGTAACGGTCACCATGATCATAACAACACCCTTTAATCGCCACCAAGTTTGGATGATGCAATCGAGCGACCCTTCCTACCTCAGAATAAAACTCCTTTTTCCTTTGAAAGCTGGATCTCTTCAACCGTTTCACCGCCACTCTCGACCCATCTGCTAGAATTCCGCTATATGTTCCCCCGGTCTTGGCGTCTCCAAGAAGACGGTTTCCTTCACTGAAATTCTTCGTGATGGACTTCAGCTCCTCACGTGTGAAAACTTTCCACGATGGGGAAACTAATGCCAATTCCGCAGGATTGGACTGTTTTCGAGACCTTTTACGCCTCTTGTTACGTTTATATACGAGAAGCCACAGTACAATGGCTAGTGTAGTGCAAAAGATTATACCACTTACGACAGCAAGTATGATGAGATATTCTTCGTGGCAGTGCATACCCCGACACATGTGATCTGAGATTCAAAAACATCGTAAATGTTATAATTGTTATAACCTTTTAACAAATCTGCACCAAATAATAACATAACAAGCATCATAGTATTTTCAGTCTCACTACAAGATCTCATTTCAATTTTAATCACATAATTTACTGAATATCAAATTCCATTTTATAAAATAGAAAAAAAATTTTAAAAAAATGAATAATTAGCATCCACTTAAGTCCCAGAAATATTTTTGCACTACTACATGAGGCAAGGATATTGCTAAAAAACTGGCTGAATTATAATAATTATTGCAAATTAAAATTCAACATACTTTAGGACAGAAATAGAATTGAAAAATGTTAGTTTACAAAACAAAAATAAAAATAGGACTATCTAATAAGACCATAAATACTATATTTACCTAATTAAACATATTAAACAAGTATCATGGGTTATAATTTAACAGGTAATGGCAAAAGTCAGTGATTTTCCCATTTGTAAACAGAGGAATAACGTACCTAAATCAAGCATGCATAAGAAAGGATGTGACGTATTGCATTTCCGAGCCACGAGTGATGTAGTTCCATTAATCAACAACGTGCAAACATCAGATAAATTATCGCTAGAGCAAGACTGGTTGGTACAGCTTGGCTGGATTGGAAAGGCAGATGCATTCCAATAGGTTGTGTTGTCAGACCATCTCCAACCTCCGTTCATCACCTTCCCACCCATCCAACATCCTTTCAAATTTTCGCTACAAAGCTTTTGGAGCACCTTTAGTTCTTGCAGTGATGTTATGGCTGCAAGATGTCCATTGTAAGAAGTACATTGCTTCTCGGAGCCATCCCACGATTCATTATTTGCGGAGTATTTAAAGCACCTTCTGTTATCAGGACTGCTGCTCCAACCAAAAGGGCAGGATGCTGTATAATAAACCAGGAAAATAGATATATATATAGATATATATGTCAAGACAGAATTTAGAAAGTTGGAAAAGCTATCAAAACTTTTTGAATTTGAATCCTTCTGAATTTTGACCAGACCTTAGCCCATTACACTCCTAGCTAATTCAAGTAATACCAAACAAAAATATATGCCGAGTAATTATAATAAATACAAAGGTACCCTGTGGACAAAAAGACAATTGACCTTCCCATTGGGATATTCTTTTTGTTCTTAAAGTTTTCAAAAAATACAGGGTAGTTATATGATGATTCAGCAGTAAGCAACCTTCTTTTTTCTTATTTTCTCTTTTTTGCTTCCATCCGAAAATAACAAGTTGCGTCACAACACATCTAAATGTGTGTCTTTGTGTTTTTGGGTACTTTTAATAGAAATCCAATTTTAGGTGTAATGTTTTAAATGGAAAATAAGTATTGGATATCATATTTCGAATGGAAGATAGCCTCTGTATACGATTGTTTGGATGGAGAAAAGGGGGACTGGCTGGATGTTTCAGTAGACAGCATATCGCGAACACAAGATCTAAAAGATGAAACAAACACACCCAAAACTCTCGAGAAAAAATAGATACGAGCAACATTAGAAGTTAATAGTATGCATTACCTAAGGTAAATGCTTCTAATACAAATTACAATGACAGTGGAATCAACATTAGAACATAAGAGTATGAATTACTTAGAATAAATGAAACATTATATATCAAGCATTCCAACTTTGTAAGATTACACTACCTAAACTGCACACATCTAATTCAGAATGGAGTGAAATGCATAATTGATCTCTACACGAAAAATAATGCAAACAACTCAGCAACATGCAAAATCAATGTATTAAATTCCACATTTATATCCAGCCTAAGTTGAATTCATCTCAAAGGCGTTCCAAATCAATGTTCTGCTTCCAAATTATACAAAAACGTAATTAGAAAAAGTTTCGGTTTCGCGTAGTGATCAGTGACATATATAAGCAGAAAATTTCAGATCCTAGAAGAAGCAGCAGTGACTAACCTTTGCCATGAGTTCGGTTCAAGGGCGGCGCAACTGGGGAGGTATTAAGCGACTCATTAAATCCCTATCAAAAAAAAAAAAAAAAAAACACGAGCTAAGAACACTCGCTCAATGCCCAATTACTGAAAAAAAAAAAAAAAAAAGAACTATAAGCTTGCTGGAAAACTCACCGAATCCGAAGCAACAGTCGACACGATGAAGAAAAAACCAAACAAGACGTCGATCAACGCCAGATTGTTTTCCATTAAGCTTTTTTCCTCTGCCAAAAACCTTAACCAACACGATTACGTGCAAAAAGCAGCGATTGCGGGAGAATTGAGCTGCCGTTCATACCGAGGAGGGAGGGCGACGGCGGGAGAAGAAGCAGGGAGCAAAATAACTAGGGTTCCAAGGGTTGGAAGGCCATTAATGAGGGCGTTGGAGAGGGGGGCAGTGGAGTCTGGGAGTTGAGTCTGGAGACTTTCTCTGACAAGTGCAGTTAATCTGTTGTCCTGTATGGACCGGCGACCCAGAATGGACCTCTGGGATAGAGCATTTGTTGGGTCGGGTCCATTGCAGCCGGGTCGGGTGGGTCGAACGCTGGCTTGGATCTAAATACGAGGATTTGGCAAAATTATGGGTTTATTGTTATGTAATGTAGGTAGTGTTTCTTTAAGGAAGTTTGGGGAAAATTGGGTTTGAATTTGGAGTTTTGATATGTATTGATTTGATGGATAATGAATAAAATAATATAAATGTGTATTAAATTTAATTGATAAAATTTATATTGTATGATTTGATTATGAATTTATATTATACCCAACATATATATTTAAATTTTTATTTATTTGGATTATAAAAAATTTTATTATCTATAAAATAATATATATATTGTATATATTTTTTTATTTAATTATAATAAATATTAAATAAAATTTTAAATTAAAAAAAAGAAAAAAAAAAAAAACAGGTTTGGCGCGGATTTAAGTGCACAGTAAAATTGGGTCAAACCACCTTGGGAAAACATACCCGTAATAAATATAACTAGCGGTAATATCCGTACGCACCGTATAATCGACTAAAAAAATTGCAATATAAATATTATATACTCCCTCCGTCCCATAATAAAGTATCTATTTTTCCATTTTGGTATGTCTCATAACAAAGTATCAATTTCCTTTTTTTAACAAAATATCAATTTCATTTTTTTAAGTAAATATACTATCTATATAATATTACAAATACGCTTACAATTTCCAATATATTACACAAATATCATTACATTTATATCACACAATACTAATAAGATTATTTTAGTCATTTTTACTTTATTCCTATTATATCCCAATATAATACTAATATTTCTAAAACTTGTGCAAAAAAAACAAATAAACGCATAGTTATAGGACGAAGGGAGTATAAATTTTTGCTATTTTTTTCAAAATATATTATTAAATAAGTCTTAATTGATTTTATATTTATTTTTAAGTATATTTATATTTATTAAATATATTTAAAATGGTTAAATTTATTAGAAAGAGATCATTTAAACAAACTACAAATGAAAAGTGGTCAATTGTATTATGAACAATAATTAGAAAATTATATAAAATATATATATACTTTGAACGTATTTAGAACTTGAGTGATTATGGTAAATAATATTATTTTATCAAATCACTATTTATATATTTATTATATATTATTAAAGTTAAAAATAAATTATGCATTAGTAAATTGATTTCTCCCTTATAAGTGAAGTAAAATAATAGGAGTACAAAATGATATTTATATAAAAATATAATTTATTTATTTATCTTATTAATATATATCTTAATAGTCTTACTATATAAATGGTGATATTTAAGAAAAAATTAAGAAAAAAAAAAGTTATACAATAATAATTTTATCATATAATTATACAATTTATTAAAATATACTCTCGAGCACCTTTAAGATAGTCATTTGCTTTTAGTACGCAGACGAAAAAATATTAGTATTTTATTGGTATGGTACAGCATTTGATCGTGTAAAGACATAATTATACTTACTAAAAAATAATGATATGTAAAGATATAATTCTAAATGAATATAAAAATATTAATATTGTGACGCAGATGAAAAAATTCTAGTATTTTATTATACTTATAGTAGTATTTAGTTGTGTTTAGACAAAATTATATTACCTCCATTCAGCTTTAAAAGTCTCATTTATTTTTTGCGTATTAATATTATTATATGAAAATGTAATACAAATAAAAAAAATGGCAAAAATACTTCTATTAGTGTCTTATAATACTATTATAATAACATTTGTGCAAAAATTATACAAATATAAAAATATTTTTAATGTTAAATACAATGACCAAAAGTAAATGAGACCTTAAAGCCGGACGAAGGGAGTAGTACTTACTAAAATATAATGACATGTAATGATATGATCGATAGTTACTAAAAAATACTACCTTGTCTCATCTTATCTATTTTATCTTATCTTATATATTTGTATATATTTAAGTTCAATGTGAGCTCCATCGAGATAATTGCAAAAAATATCTTGCACTTATACATTATTATCACTTTTGTCCTGTATTTATCTCGTTGGTAAAATATATCCCATATATTTACAAAAGTCGATACTTATATCCTTTGCCCGCTCGTGACACTCACACCACGCGCCATTTTTAGGATTTTAGCAAAAAGTATGAATTTTTAGGATTTTTGCAATTTTTTTCTCTAATTCTCATTGGTCTTAGCATTTGATTGGTATATTGTATGTGTGAAGCCTATTTGATTGGTTGTATAATTGTATTGATTGTAATTATTTTGAATAAATTTTGAGTTTTGTTAAAAACATTTTGTTATTATTTTCTTATTGGTTGTAGTCATTATATATATAATTGATTATGCACTTTGATTGGGGTTTTTTTACTTATATATTTTGAATTTTTTACTTATTATTTTATTTGTATTAAATGTTAGAATAGATAATTTTTTTATTAAAATTTATTATATGTATAATTTGAATAACAGTTGGTATATAATACTTTTAAATTTTTTATTTAAAATTCTTATATTATATTTAATTGCTTAAATATAATTTCTTATAACTATAAAAAGTACATAAAATATTTTTTAATATTTGATCATATATATTAAATAATTATCTTATTTTATCTTATATCTTATATATATTTAATTCATTACATGGTCTATTTTAAAAAACTTGAATTTTTAATAATGTTGAAAAAAAAATTATTTAATTTTTATTAATTGTTCTGTTAAATATATATATTTTTTTTATCATATTATAGAACATATGAGTCATACATTGGATATGTATACATTTAGATAATTATATACGTTTATGCATATATATGTAAGATCAATGGTGGATACATTTATGCATATATATATATATATATGTAAGATCAATGGTGGATTCAGAAATTTTTTTCACCTGTAGTACAATATATTAATTTAAAAATAAAATTAATTTTAAAAATTAATCTATTTAAATAATAATATAATATTATTTTTGAATATTTATATTTTACAATATAAATTAATTATTTTAATTGAATTGAATTTAATTATTTGAATATTAATGACATTTTAAAATTTACACAATCCACCTAAATTTCGGGGATAATGATAAATTTTCAAATTTTAAATAAGGGCACTCCAATTTTTTAGTAGTTGCACAATTATTGAATTATATATATAAAAAAAATTAATAAAATAAAATCAGTGGTTGCACGTGCCACCATTTGATATAAGGTGGATCTGCCCTGTGTAAGATGTACATTATTGTTGTAATTACAAGGGTTGCAAGCAGCTTTTTATTCTGCATACTGCAGACAACTATTCCGCTTCACAATGCAACTCTTCGGGTGTGTTTGGTTACCGGTTGAATTATTGAATTGAAAGTTGGGTTGAGAGTGATTTATTTAATTAATATTTGATTTATAATGTAATATGCTCCCTCCGTCTCATGAAAAAATGTCTTATTGGGAGTGAGCATGTGAATTAAGAATAATAATATTTAATTGAAAGTGGATATAAAGTAAAAAGTAAAATACTAAAATACCCTTGTTTTTTAATGATTTTAAAAAGTAGGTTAGAATAATAATTAGAGGTAGTTTGAAAAAGTATGAATAATTTTGTTATAAAGTAGGAACCACCATTACTAAATAAGGAAATAAGACAATTATTTTGGGACGGACGAAAATGAAAATACAAGACAACTCTACTGGGACGGGGGAGTATATAAGATTAAAAAATGGAAAATTTGTGTTTAATTATTTTAATAAAATATATATAATATAGATATCATTTTATAGATAATAAAATTTTATATAATACAAATAAATAAGAAAATATAATTTTTTATTGATGATTAACATAAATAATTTGCAAATAAATAAGAAAATATAATTTTTTATTGATGATTAACATAAATAATTTGCAAATAAATAGAGAGTTTTGAATTAATATAAATATATTTATTGAGTGAGGAGAGAGATAAAAATAAAATAAAATAATTAAATAAATATTAGTATATATATATATGAAACATAAAAATAAATATTGAATATCTACCTTGTTCGAAATTCATATCGAATGATCTCCATTGACTATTGAGTTACATACACACTCCCACAAATACATCGAAAGAAATTTAAAATAAATATATTAAATATATATACCTAGGAAACAAAAACATAGAGATAAAATAACTTATCTTTTTTAGTTCAAAATCTAAATTGAACGATTTTCATTGACTCTTGACTCTCCATTGAGGTTTTACATACATGCTCCCACGAATGTATCGATAGAGATTTAAAATTTATATTAGTACATATACGTAGGAAACATAAAAATAAATTTTGAATAATTACCTTCTTGTGTTCGAAATTCATATTGAATGTTCTTTATTGACTATTGGGTCCTAACATAGATTTTACTTACACGCTTCCACGAATACATCGAAAAAGATTCAAAATAAATATATTGATATATATACGTATGAAACATAAAAATAAAGATTAAATACTTATCTTTTTGTGTTCAAAATCTAAATTAAACGATCTTCATTGACTCTTCAGTCTCCATAGAGATTTTACGTGTGCATGCTCCCACGAATGTATTAAAGACATTTATAATAAATATTACTATAGAGGTATAGATGATGTGCCAAGGAGGTGGGGAGTCTTGGGACAATCTGGCACGGTTTTGAGGGTAGGGTTTGATTGATTTTATTTTTTTAAAAATATATTAATTGATTGAAAACTAAGAATAATAATGTAAACATAGTGTCATACTATGATACTTATTTTAATTTATGTATTTATTTTTTGTTATATAATGTTTTTATAATAAAATTGTCTTTTTTAAAATGTGGTGTATATGTATTAGCTTCTAGCTTTTCTGTTATTATACATGTAAGTACATTTAACAATTTTATTATTGTTGTTTTAAAAATTATGAATATGGTATAATTTGAC